ATTTATCTTTCAAATGCAGAAGTGTCTCGTGATAAACAGCAAGCGAACAGCGTAAGATGTTTTTCATTCTTTCACGGATTTGTTGCAGGCTGGTGTTTAGACATTGTGATATGAGACGAGACGTCCTCTGGAATTTATATTTTTGTCCTTTGGTGGCATATTGTTGTTTTCCTCGTTTTAAAGTCTGCATTGCTGTGGTCGTATTTAATCCTTCTGAGAGCTTGAGCAATACAAACTTCTACTTGCTTAGTCATCACATAAACATTATTAATAAGGCTTTGTGTTTATTTTCAGCTCTTTTTGGTACCAACTGAATATCAGTTATTCTCGTATTCTGTTAAATGTTGTAGATAGGATCTGATTAAAAACACATTTTAATCCTCCAGTATCACTGTAGGACGTTTTTGTCCCGACTTTGACTAATTTGCGTAGTCCAATCGAATGATAACGGAGGGTTACAAACTTTTATTGCCAAGTTCTTCTTTGGCTGAAACTTTTACTTTGAGGACTTGAGAGAATAAGTTTTGTTTTGGTTTTGCTTCCAGTGGCATTAGTCTTAAAACAAATGTGTTCTTCTTCTAAGAAATCTGCAATAAACATTTTGAACTGTAGCCTAATTTACAGAGCTGCAGCAGAAAGAAATATAATCTCAGTCTTGATATCTTTCCTGAGATTGTTCTTATCAAATATCACGAAGGTTCATACAATGTAATTGTAAAAGGCTAGCGTTGAAGGGGCCCACCTTTGCTAACTTTCAGGTTAATATTTTTCGCCTCTATTGTGGCATGTTTACAGTCTTTAATGATCAAAGAGCTCTTTATTTTTCTCATACTGCCTGTGCTGCCCAGTCTGCTCTGATTGGTTAGCTGGCCGGCTCTGTTGTGATTGGTCGACCGCTTAGATATCCCGCCCCTCTGACAATCACGTACAATGTGTTGAAACGTTAGCGAATAGAAGGTGTTACATATTGATTTCACTTTGTTATGGAAGTAAAGAAAGGAGTTCAATGGAGGCGTTTCAGGAGGGAGGGTGTGGGTGTTTCTGCACCCTACATGCACAAACACCTATACAACACACTAGGGCTGCTCAATTAATCGTATTTTAATCGCAATTACGATTTTGGCTTGCAACGATTATGAAAACAACATAATCGAAATAAAACGATTATTTATTTATTTTTAAATGTATTGGTTTTTCAGTTGAATTATACTTAAAGTTCAGGGTAATCAACTGTTAAAAACATACTGTTCACATTTTTTTTTTCAATAAATGGATGTTTTCAAAGTAAATGGATAATCGTTTTTAATAATCGTGATATCAATTATTGACCAAAATAATCGAGATTATGATTTTTGCCATAATCGAGCAGCCCTACAACACACTGCAGAAAGGGAAAACCCAAAAATCATAACCTCTAAGTTGGGCTATCATATTATTCTCACCAAAAAGGTCCTCTCCTATCCTCAGTCTCATACTGAAAGCTTCCTAAAAACGCTGTTTAAAAATACATCTCAGCAGTAGTTACTTCTCTCTTCCATTCCCACAGAATTGTCCAGCACAGCATAAAGCTTTAATGTGCATTTTGTACCGATCACAAAACCTTGATGCATTTTTCATCACACCTGCCTCCTGTCTCTCTTCTCCTCTCCTCCTCCTCTCTCGCAGGGCGAAGGCTTGATGCTGGAGTACGAGATGAAGCTGACCAATGGCCAGTCTTTCTGGACGCAGCATTTCTCTGCAGATGAGTTCGGTAGGAGTGATTAGATGGGGCGAGAGGGATTGTGGAAAGAATCGCTGATGGCACAAGCCAACACCACTTAGCACGGCCAATAAAGCACACTGAACTGAACAAATTACAATAATGAAGGGATGGCTGGATGAATTAATGATGATAGATGAACTGAGAGGAATGGATGAATGGAATAGGAGGCCCAAGTAGCTTCTAAATGAATTATTCCTACATCTCCCATCTACTGTCTCCCTCTCCCCTGATTTCCTCCAGTAACTCTCTCTCTGTTTCTGAACTAATTAAATATCCTCATCACGTGCCTGCCTCTGGATTTCTCATCTCTTCTTCTTCCCTCTCTTCTTCACCTGGATATTTCTGTCCATAATTGTCTCTCCTCTCATGTGCCTCCTTTTCCAACCTCTGTTTATTTCCATCTTTCTTTCGAATCAATAATTATGTGTTCTTCCTATACCTTTTCTTCCCCTTATTCACAGGAATCCTGGAGACAGACATCACGTTCCTGGTGATCTTCTCCCTGGTGTTCGTCCTCTCCTGCTACTTCGCCTGTAAGTACTCTCTTTTCCACTTACTGTATCTCTCCTTCCACAAAGAAGCCAATGTAGTCGTACTGTGAAAGCCCACAGAAGTCATTAAGCATACCTTTTCTTGAGATCTATTATAAAATCGACATGGTTTCTTAAAGGGAGAGGAGTACGTTCTCATGTTTCTCTGTGATAAGTAAAGGGGAAGCACGTGCCTATCTTTTATCAGTGCATGGGGCTTGTCAGAATAGCGTGAGAAACAGAGAGAGAAGATGGCAAGAGTGAGGTTTGCTTTTTCGTGTTAAAGTGTTCGGTTTAATGGAGAAGCTAGCGGTAGTCATGAGGTTAGTGAAGCGAGTTTATCACAGGAAGCTCACAGCTCCAGTAACAAGAGCTCTAAGGAATGACTTACTGCTCAGAGAAATTCATTCCTGCTTTCTCCAGGTTCTGTCAGCCAAATATCTTGTTCATGTGAATAACAGCCCAAATAATAACACTTTTTTTGGAGACTTGTATTCCCTCAAAATGAATTAAAACCAGTGGTTCAACCAAAGACATTTTTACTTTTCAGAGTGTTCGTGTGTTTATCGGGTTTTGTAGCATTCAAAGCATCCAGTATATGACAATGAAAATGACAAAATGTAATGAAAGTGCTGATGAAGCGGCACAATAACCCTGACGTTTTGTGTGGCTCAAATACTTTTTCTACTTACTTGAGAACAACATTCAAACAGTTTTATCACCAAGGGCTTTGGGTCTTCTCTGCAGACGCCCACATACAATGGAAGTGTATTTGTTTATGTGCTCACGGCTTCAAAAATGTTTTTTTTGTGGATCCATTTCCAATCAAAACTGTTGCCACTGTTATCCAGAGCAACAAGGATTGTGATGTTGGAAGGAGATTCTAGTGTAACAAAGTATTCAATGTCATTTTTTAATTGCTGAGAATCACAAACTAAATCCAATTCTTCTCAACTTTATTTGTGCAAACACATACAGGCTTTAAATTGTAGGGCTAGTAATAGTAAACAATCTGAATAGCTGAATCTCACAGAAGGTATCAAGGAAATTAGATTTTGTCCTAATATGGATATACTAAGGCCTAAAGTGAAAGGACTCTGGTGATGTAGCTACAAAATTGGCATAATTTAATTTACAGAATGTTATTCGAGGGTTAGAATAGAGGTGGACCTTTTAAATGTGTGCAGTTAGCTGAAGTGTATTTCTTGCTTTGCTTGCTATTCTGCAGAGGAATAGTGCCATGTAATGATGTGCAAATATATCTTGAGTCCCGGTGAAATCTTTTTGTGTGATTTCATGCAAATTGGGAGAAGGCTGTGAATGCTCGGCTGTATCTTCCCCGTGTGCATGTTTCTTCTGTCAGCTTTATTTGAGAATTCACTGAAACGCACGCTTGAGTTTTATATATTTGCACAAGTTAAAGTCAAACAAAGGACATAGAATAATAATGTAGAGTGTTGTACAAATAAAAGAAAAACAAGCCTGAAGGGACTTTATTTTTCATTACTTCTACACCTAACAAAACAATATTCACAATGCAGTAGGCGTGTGCAGATTATAAAAGATGGGAACATTTTTGAGAACATATTTAAGTTGACAGAATTTCAATTTATAGGGAAATCCTTTGATGGCCACCATTTGCATACCTTTGAGGAAACCACAGGAGGAGAAGCTTGTGTTTATTCAGGGCAGCTGTGAGTGTGTGTGAACGTTTATGACCCGTCCTCCCCCCTGTAAATTTCTCCCCCGGGCCACTTGTGTTCGCAGGAGTGTTTTGGTAATAAAATTGTCTGGTTAAAAGCGCATTAAACATTCCTCAAATCTTAGGGAGAGAGAGAGTGAGGGAAATATATATACGGCCTCATCTAGAGACGACCAGCTCAAGATGGGTGCATACTGATGTCCGCTCGCCTCTTTTATCGGGCCTGTCTCGCTCTCCTTTGCCATCTGTTTGCATATCTCCATCCTTTTTATCTCTGTCTCACACACACACACACACACACACACACACACACACACACACACACACACACACACACACACACACACACACACACACACACACACACCTCTATCTGATTCCTGTTATTTTCCTCTCCCCTGCAGACAACCTGAAGGGAAGACAGCTTCTTCACACAACCTACAAAATGTTTATGATGGCGGCAGGTGTGGAAGGTGAGAGCTTCTGTCCTGAACACACACACACACACACACACACACACACACACACACACACAAACACACACCTCTATCTGATTCCTGTTATTTTCCTCTCCCTGCAGACAACCTGAAGGGAAGACAGCTTCTTCACACAACCTACAAAATGTTTANCGCTTCCGTCGAAGCTTCAAAAGTTGAACATGGCTCAACTTTTGAAGCGAGCAACGCGAGCAAAGCGAAGCAACGGAACCACAATGCAGTTCGGCAAAGCGTGACGTCACCCCATTCAAAGTGAATGGGAAGAAGCGTTGAAGCTTCAACGCACGCCCCCGTGTGGACGGGCCGAAAGTGTTTCCACTGAACACATGACCACAGCAAAACATTTGAAAGTGTATTACTATTAACTAGTATTTCATTCTATTTGAATCCTATTTTGTATGCAGTTGTTTGAATGGGTGTTTGATGGTGGGAGCTGTATATTTTGTTTGTTTAATAGAGAAACACATTTTATAATTGACCCTTCACAAAACTGTTTTCTCTTTGTTCAGGGTGAGATGAATCGCGTTATTGGATCTCATGCCTTGAACAGGAACTCCTCCAGGTCCCACTGTATCTTCACTTTGCATTTAGAGGTATGCCTAAAGAAATATCTTTTTAATGTTTTGCTTTATCGTTTTCTGTGGTGTTTTTTTGTTTAAATATGCTTTTTCCTGCATACGTTTTTAAGCAGAAGGAAATGTCTTTCCCAATCTCAGTCTCGCTCACGGACTCTGTCTGATGCCAAGTATGTCACCTCCAAGTTGAACCTGGTGGATTTAGCTGGGTCAGAGAGGCTGGGAAAGACTGGGGTGAGTCTGAGACTGTCTGACTTTACCAGTTCACATATTTATGTTGACAAGCCATAAAATAGTTGGTTTTGCATAATATGCACGTTCTAACATGTTACACCACTTGAATAAAGTCATGTCGAGTTGGGATTTTAGAGTCACCGAGTCTATTTCACTTTTATGAAGAATAGCTAAATGTAGTCTTTTTAGAATGATCTGTGGTCTAACTTCATTTAATGCCACCTTCCTGCTCTTCCAGTCAGAGGGTCAGATGTTCAAGGAAGCCATGTACATCAACAAGTCGTTGTCTTTCCTGGAGCAGGCCATCCTGGCCCTGGCCGACCGTCGCAGAGACCACGTTCCCTTCAGACAGACTAAACTCACTCATGCCCTCAAGGACTCATTGGGTGAGACTGCTGGCCCCTTCACTTCTAACAACGCTGTTAGCTGATATTTGATGGTCTATAGGTTTTTTCTGTGTGTGTACTAATACTTGAAAAACATGTATTTTTCAGGAGGGAACTGCAACACTGTGCTTGTGGCAAACATCTACGGTGAGGCGTCCCAGAAAGAAGAAACAGTAAGGAGTGGAATATATTATATAATACCAAAAAACTGTAAATGATGTCATATAATCTCTGGATGATAAAACATATCCTTTGCAGCTCTCTACACTGCGTTTTGCCAGCAGAATGAAGTGCATCCGGACAAATCCTGCTGTCAATGAACACATGGATCCAGCTGTAAGTTCACAGGAAATGAAACTTACCAAAAAAATATGACATGAAAACTCAGCTAGGAATCGTACATTTGTATTATTTTACTACATGTTTGATATACTCTCTGTCAGTCGTCAGAAAACAGAGTGATCTCATGAAACGTTCTGTTGTGATTAGGCTCAGATCAAGAAGCTAAAGAAGGACGTACAGATGCTGAAAGAGGAACTGTCCTTCGGTAATACATTGGTGAGTAGAGCTATTGTGAAACTACGAATCTTGTAATGTCTTTGCCAATTGCCCTGTTTTTTTATTTAGCTAATTGGCAACTTGAAAAATGAGCCAGCAGATCATTTAAAAAAGCCTACAGTAGCGGGGCAACCATAGTAATGGCATTTTGCATTTGTGTCCCAAACACATTTCAGTTGCTTCACATGAGAAGGTAAATGACTAATATTCACACTTCACTAGGTGAACCGGCCCAGCGTACCGTACGACCCGTTGTCTCAGGCCCAGCTGGCCGAGATCGACAGCCAGGTTCAGAGGTACCTGGAGGGAAGCCTGAAGGAAATCAGTGTGAGAAGATGTACAGAAACACAACAATACAACATTTTAGAATCTACACTTGAAGCCTTTAAATCTCTTTCTGCATGACATCTAATTACAGATCATAAGTGTCAGTCAGGTCCGAGCATTATTCGCCAAGTTCAAGCTGGCTGTGCAGTAAGTCTCATCTACCCTTTTGAAATCATCAGCCTTAAACAAGTAGGGTTTCTTTAGACAAAACATGGGACACTGTTTTTTTGTTAATAGTAAGTCATTCCACATGTTTCTTTATGTCTGTGAGCAGGGGACAGGAGAAGAAGGTGAATGCTCGATTACGTCAGACCTACAACTTGGGGGAGGAAGACCAAAGAGCTGATACACCTGCTGTCAAGGTCAATCTACTTCTGATTCACTGTTCATGCCAGCTCGTGGAAATGAAGAGTTGTTGTGGGTGTTCATTTCTTTACTGACAGCCTGTTTGGCGAACAACTCACTGTAATTGTGCTGTGATACATTTGGCTTTGTAAACTCTTTTAGGAGTGGGATACCAGAGGTAGCACTGAGGAAGATGAGGCTGGCAGCTTTGAGGTGTCACACAAAAACACCCAGCACCCGAGTTCAACCAGAGCCAAAACTAAAAAGTCTAAGGACAAACCGAGGTAAGGGAACATTTAGTTTTTCCTCCGATGACTGATTCTGATCGTCTTCTTAAAGTATTCAAAGATAATAAGTACATATATTTGTCACTTTGAACCCTGATCAGTTTGCATGCCTGGATTTAAACACACCAGTTTTCCTAATGACGCACTCAATGTGATTATCCAGCCAAAGCAAGAGACAAGGAGAGGAGAGTCCGCTCTCTAAGAAGCGTTCAGACTCTGCCTCAAAACCAAAGCTGAATTCTGTCCAGAGCCCCGAAAGGGAACAGGAGTTACAGGAACCAGACACGGAGAGCCAGGAACCACAGGAGTCACAACCAAATGGCAAAGAACCCTTTCACCCTGAGTATGTGTTTGTGCTATAAAAGGGTCGGCTCAGATATCGCTGGTAGTCCTACACAGTAAATGTGATGTTTTATACCATTGCTGTCTCTGCCCAGCTCTACTCTTACCAAAGCGGAAGCCTTTGATGATTTTAAAATGGGCAGAGGCAGCAAGCTAAATCGCATCCTTCAGGAGAACAAGGCCGTGCTACTGGAGCGCCGCAGTCTTCATCGGCAGCTAACTGACGAGGTCAACGCTGTGAAGAGAGAGATCGACTGCACCGCGGCCACCATGCAGCAGTACAGGGAGACGAGAGGAGGCCAAGGTACTTCAAATGTTTGGATCATGACAGACCCTTTGATTTACTTTATTTTGGCTTTTTTCTTAAAGGGCCCATGTCGTGCTTTTCCGGTTATTACCCGTCCCCTTGTGTGTTATGAAGGTTTTTATGCATGTTAATGGTCTGCAGAGTCAAAAACCCCTCAAAGTACACCCTGTAGCGAATAAAACTCTAACACAGAAAAGACCTGTCTATGCTGCCCCAAAATGCCTCGTTGGAGATTTCTCATTTTCCATTGTTTTCTTCCTGGGTTCTGTGACGTGTGAATACCCAAATCAACAACAAATGACCGGATTGGCCCAAATGGACCAATCCACGGAGNTTAAAAATAACACAATGGTGCTCTAGGAGGAGATTCAGGTGATAAGGGGGGGGGGGGTTACCTTGGTTGCTGATTGGCTAATGGTTACACAAGCCAAAAAATTGTTATGACATCATAGAGTGGCCAAAATCTGATCAGCTCATTTCAGACAGGTTTTTATATAAATGGATCAGGACAAAAAGAGAGAGAATCTCTTTCCCTGAAACTTTCAGAATCTCTTTACACAGGGGGGACACATGTTTATGTAGAAAAGACATGGTGGACAAAAGTGGATTTTGCATAATAGGTGACCTTTAAGGCCACGCTTCCTGTAATGCTCCATGTCTTGCATACACACACAATAATAGGAAATATTTTTCTTTTGTTGCGTCCCGCAAAAAAGGCCCATTGTTTCTCATCATCCCATAGCTGCTGGAGTCCTCATAGACACTAGCGCCGCATTACTCATAGAAAATTCCATTGCTAGAATTGACATCTCTTTATGATCGACATAAAGATAACCAATGATATATTTTGTACCGCAGGGCACAGATTTAATAAAGACTTCATTCATGTGTTTGACTGCAGTTTAATGCAGACACAAATCTGATGCATGTGAGGTTCACGTCATAGTATCATGGATGTCTACTACTGTAAACATTACAAAATGTTTCCCTATCTGCCAAACTGCCCCGCAGCAGAATTCTTAGACAGCGGCAGTGTTTGATTCTTAAATTACTCTTTGTCCATTTTTATCTAAAAAAACATATCAGTGAGGCTATTTTGAGTAAGGCCATCTGAAAAGGGTCCTCAGTAATCGCAGAGGTTGTCAAAAGAGAAGTTGTTCAAGTGAGAAATCCATTTTATTCCCGCAACACGGTCCAGTAAAGCGTCTACGACTACCTCAAAATGAGAGTTCACATTCAACTCCAGTGGTGTCCACATCAGATGTGAGAGTTTTGAATAATGTGATGATATTGGAGGATAATGAAAGAAGTGTTTACAGTACGTATAGAAATAAGAGGTGGCAGTTATCATATGATAAAAAATATGTTACAATCATCAACACTAGTGTTCATTGAAAGAAAAGTCCCGGGCCGGCGGTAGCAATGACTTCAATGGAAGCTTCACTGCTTGAGGTGTATTTTCTTTGCTTAACACAGGCTGCAGTTATTTCACCAACAAAACAATCATAATGTGCTGACGGCAGTAATATGATTCAATTCAATTGATAGGACTATGTTCACAGACTGAATAAGCTTAATTGCATTAAGACACACATTTTAAAATGTCAGAGTTTACGGCACACATACTATACAATACAAATTAGTGTGGCTGAAAATATTTTGTTTTTTCCCAATAGATATGAAATGCAGTATGCTGAAAGTACCAGGATGTACTATTTTGTCAAGTCATAATGCGCAATGCGAGTAAACAATGGATGTATAAAGAGAACTGGACACAGTGTTGGAGGCGCTCATTCCTGTATAAGGTGCTCAGTGGCACGTAACAGAGGCTAACGTGAGAATGAAATCTATTGAAAGCGCCACTAAGACGCTGTCAGACTGACGTTTGTAAGCGGTGGTCAGACTGTGTCCAGACTCGCTCAGTGCTTCAGATGATGCCTTTTAAGGCCCTCCACCGCACCAGCTAAACTGGGGCTTTTTATGATTCAGCAGTGTGTGGAACTTCGTGCATGTGTTATGTAAGACAGTCTGATAAGATAACCTAGAGACACAACATCCTTGACTATTTATTAAAGCTAAAGCTGATAGAATTGTATTGTACATTACATCACAAGCACAGGCATTCCGACAAACCCTGGATATTAGCTCTGTGGGCTGTTTGCAGCAGCTACCTCGCTTAATACCGCCAAATTAAATAGTAGTTCAATAACAACGAAAGCAGTGCCTTAAAGGACTTGTCCGGGCTTCCAGCTTCCCTACGGCCAAAGAGAGGCCGTCAGAGCTCATCTGCAGAGAGGCAGCTCTGAGAAGATTCAGCCATAGGCCCAGAGATCAAGATGGCTGATCAGAGATGGAATACACTACAGGTCCTAAGGGTCAAAGTTTAAAGGTCCCCTATTATACTATTCTTCATCAATATATTATAGGTCTCAGATACATACAAAACATGTTTCTGAAGTGTTTCACTAAAACACCAAACAGATCATTGTAGCATCCCATAATCCCCTCTGTTTCAGCCCTGTTTCAAAAGGGCTGATTCTCTGTCTGTTACTTTAGATGAAGATAAGGAGCCACTCCCCACGCCCCTCTGAGAGATATTTGGTTAAAAAGAACACAATGGTGCTCTAGGAGGAGATTCAGGTGAAAAGGTGGGGGGGGGGGTGTTACCATGGTTGGTGATTGGCTAATGGTTACACAAACCAGAAAATAGTTATGACATCATAAAGTGGCTAAAATCTGATCAGCTCATTTTCAGACAGGTTCTTATATAAATGGGTCAGGACAAAAAGAGAGGGGGTCTTTCTTCCTGAAACGTTCAGAATCTCTTTACACAGGGGGGGGACATGTTGATGTAGAAAAGACAAGAAAAAGTGGATTTTTCATGACTTTTAATATCACCATTAAACCTCCCCAGTTGATTACCTACAAATTCTTCTGTCTTGTTAAATTCCATTTCAGGCATTATGCAATATAAACTGTTGGTGAATTTAGGGCAAAAATACATACACACATACAAAGTGAATAAAAGAAACACCTAAAGGTAGATTACGGATGTTTTCCTTCCACTTTTGTGCAAGAATACTTAAAGATAAGCTTTATCAAATCATAAACTTTCGACAAATGATCGCACAGCATCCACCTGCTTCCTAAGAATGTGGAGAGGAAACTTGAGAAAGACAAGGCAGTTTGCCTGACTTGGGCTAATGTACACCCTGAATCAGTGGAACTTTAGCAGTGTGGGAACGGGGGTTTCCAGCGAGCCCGAGACTGACGGCTTCACCTCAGGACGCCATGCGGAGACAAAGAGCGGCGAGGAAGAAAATACGACAGCGGAGCGGCGGGCGCTAGAGGGCAAGCTTAGAATAACCTCGCTGTGTACCTGAGCCGAGGTTGGCGGGTTCGAGGCACACACACACATTCTCACAGATACATGCCTAAATGCAACACACAGTTACAGACAAGCACACAGACTTATAATAAAGGAGTAAAGCATCTAGCAGCTCTGTGTGAGTGTGTATTTGCATGTTGAGCTCAGGCATTTCTTACATTCCTCGCTGTTCCCTGCAGCCACGTTGGTTCACTTTTCTTTGCTGTTTTTCACTCAATATCACATGAAATCTCCACGTTATCAGATCACAACAATATCAAAAGTAAAAACAACACTAACCTCTGTAGACTTTTCTAAACTTGGGAAGAAGCTAACTGAAGTCTTCTGATTAATTAGAATATGAAGATTATTCCAGTCTTTTGCCCCTATAGTGCAGATATTTCTACAGCAATGAGTCTGTAGATTTTCCTGAAGCCTACGTATAGGAGAACATTTTCGAAGCAGAACACATCAAATGTACTCAATAATAACTTGATTGATATTAACAATTTTCTTTTTACAGCTTTGATCTCAGTTTTACTGCCATACAATCCTTCACATACAGATGTTGCCAGTTTCTAAAGTCAGGCTTGTAGCTGCATGTTGGCTGAACAGCTGTGACTCCATTGAGCTGCAAAAATGCTCAGAAATATCTAGCTGTGTGGTCATGCCACAATCTGTCATCCATAAGTGTATCTTTTAAGCACATTATAGACATCATCAGTTTCATAACTCTTTTGTTAGACCTGTGTGGATGCATAGACACAGATGAGCAGCATCTTCATTTAAATGCTGAAGAACAAACAGAAATCCACCTAATTGTAGAAATAATCTATGCTAATTTATAGTGTGCGAAATACCCGTCAATAATCGGGGGGGTCCCCATCTCCCGTTTATTGCGCAATATACCGGTCGAAGATTTCTCAATACGCAGGCTTGCATGACATATTGTATAGGCCTAATGCGTATTGAGAAATCTTCGACCGGTATATTGCGCAATAAACGGGAGATGGGGACCCCCCCGATTATTGACGGGTATTTCGCACACTATAAATTAGCATANTCCCATGTCATGGCCATTTCTACTGATCATAATTCCATTGTTAAGGTCTACTAGAATAGATTTAAATTGTGCATTTTTCC